CTCAATGAACGCCCTTGATTAAATGAGACTTGGTCACCAACCGTTGGACAGTTAGCGTTGCCGTTGATAATGTCGTAGAAAAAAGTCAATGACGAATTGACACGTCGACGACGAAGACTAATCATGTTCAAGTCTGACAAAAACAATTTGTTGATGAAATGAATGCAATGATTCTACGAACCATTGAGATCAACTTTGGTGTGTTCGAATGAAATGAGTTCCTACGCCAAATGGAAATAATATGGAAAATATTCTTGGAATTTCTTATAATACTTGCGAGTACTGAAAGGTTTTATTTATTAACTTTGAATTCAATTGAATCCCAATTGGATGGTTTTATTAAACGAAACATTAATTATTTATTAACATTATTGGACTGTTTGCAAAGAACGACGAAAACGGTTGGATTCTTGACAACTTTGACATTTTGATCTACACACACAGATAAATACGTATGGTGGATTAGAAAACGTCAGCAATGAACTATACTAACACTTGGTGTAGCAAGTTCATCGATGGTGTGAACGGATAACACTTTTCAAATGAACGTTTATTTACACCACAATTTATTTTTCAAATATTTGGCCCATGTTCATCATACAGCGTTAATTAGTTAATTATCACTTTGTCGAATATTTGACTTTGAATAAAGAAAACCAGTCTAAAAACACAAACGCATATCTTAATTGCCAATGTAACCATTGCATTCATATATCTGCAATTAGTAAGAAAAAAGAAACGAATACATACTGAAATAGGATAAAATCAGATAAAATAAAACACACAGTTTATTTTGGATTTGATTCATTTCAATTTAATTGAATAAAAACGTACTGAAAATAGAGAATATGCTACAACAATTTTTGAAATCTTGTCGAGCACAAAATATTCTGGCCATTTTCCATTTATTTATGGGTATTCTCATATAAACGATTGTCGATTGTTGCATTTCAAATCGTTGTATTGATACTGTCCGTCGTACTTTCGGAAGTCAAGATAGTCCTCATCGTTACCGTAATGATCGGGTTGATTGGGGCCCCAGTCAGCGAATGTAAATTCTTGTTTTGTTGCTGGCCAATAGAATGTATCTTTTGCAATGGATTGTACATTGTTTTGCTTAGAATGATTATTTTGAAAGCTCAAATTCAACTGAAACGTTCTCTACATGAACAATCTGAAAGCAATCCCTCGAATCACATCGCAGCTATTTATAATTTAACACTAAAGTGCATTTGATTTTTCAAGGGCTGTGAATTTTTAACGAAGCGATATCTGTAAAATATGGGAACAAGTTGAATCATAGACCACCAGTAAACCGTTCCAAGGACACTCCATTCTGTGCATTTACACACAATCGATAAGCAATTAATCGCACAATATCATGGTCTGCAATCTCAGCAACAAATTTAGTGCATGTGTGTCTCTTTTCCATTGTTTGAATTTCGAATTCAGAGCATGCACAGAATTCATTGAAAACAAATGGTTCTTCACATATTATATCTACATGAACTTTATCAAGAGAAATTCACTGCAGGGAAATTCAATCAAATTTCCACGATATATTTTCCAACAGCACGTAATATTCCATTCATTCTACAATATAAATTTTTGAAAAAGATGTGCTTTCCCTAAATATCAGTTGTAAACATTTTCGAAGTATACTGACTGTAAAAAAGCTGTTTAGAATCATCATAATAGAAAAAAAAAACTGAATTTGCTTTTACGTTCATTTGAATTAATTCTGGTTACAAATTCTGATTCCATCCATAAGCAAATAAATTTTTATTTCTTGGTAAAAGTACTCCACACACTAATCGCATTCACGTTATTACTCTTCGCCATACACACACATGCGCGGAATCACAAATAGCCACTGATCAGCTACACAACCGTTCACACACATCCTTACAGCTGATTGTCTTTTGCCATTTCCTCTCAATTTCAATAAAGTGCTGTGAATATAGCAGTATTCTGGGTTTTTGGAGAGAATACCCTAAGTTGGGGTCCTTAACATTTTGTTTATTTGTTCATTTAACTTATGATTGGCATTCATTTCATACGTTTCAATTGTATTTGTTTTAAATGAACATACGTGGATATAACGGAGATTGGTTAAAATATGATGAAAAGAAAACAACAGTTATTTTGGATCATGTTAAAGGCAAATTTATTAAAAATGGAAAAGATCATAAAAGGGTTTATAAATTGATTTTTTTTTCTCGAAAATTGTTCGATTCCCGAAATCTTTTCAGGGGAAAATCATTTTAGTCATATTCTGCATTTATTTATGGATATTCGCAAACGAATCCTTGTCGATTGTTGCAATTCAAATCGTTGTATCGATACTGTCCGTCGTACTTTCGGAAGTCAAGACAGTCCTCATTGCCACCGAAATGATCTGGTTGATTGGGGCCCCAGTCAGCGAAAGTAAATTCTTGTTTTGTTGCTGGCCAATAGAATGTTCCCCGGCCGATGCTTGTTCCATATGCCCAAAAACCATCGCCGATATCTGTTCAATGAAATATGCAATTAAATGGCGCAAAATGGTGGACGAAAAATGCCCAATATTCACTGTAATAAAACACTGAAACCGTCAATATAAGAAACCATTAACAATTGATTAAGCAGCTTGAACTGTTTTCACATTTTTTTCGAAATTGACAGAACAATGAACTATGTTCTCGCGAGAGATAAATAACTTTAAACATTTTTGAGCTACTTCCACTTCTTACTTAGATCATCGAGTTGCATTCGAAGGTGAAAATATTTCTCTCTTGTATCAATGGTAGCCAGTTGCATGCCCGCGAGTTGACAGCGCTCTTTTGCTTCAGACCACGTCGACTAAAATGAAAGTTATTTGGTAATTTGAAAATCGTTAAAAAGCTTTAATTTATCAAAACTTACGTGATCTTTTCGATTGATGTAATAATTTTTCTGAGGGCAGCTAGATGGTGGTAACTGTTGTGGTTGTGGAATTTGTGAGGCTTGTGAAGATGGAGGAAATTGTGGAGACACTTGTGGAGACATTTGAGCGCGTGCTGCGACTAATTATAAAAACGTTTATATAATTTTAATTCTTTAACTTATAATAAATTTGCTTAACGTTAATTTGGTGTTCAAGTGCAATAAACCGTATGAAACGGTTGCAAAATGCATTCGCGACAATTTTCAGGTGATGAAATGTAAACAGATCTTGCGTAGCTATGTAGCCATTGCACGCAGAAAAGAGTCGCCGAAAATTTGATGTGTTCGCGGCAAAATTTGACATTTATATACGAATTTCTATATACATTTCACCGACAGCACTTCATTCTTCCGGGCTGAGTTCATTTTAACACCCGAAATGACAGCTGGCGCTAATTTGTGTTTAAATATTTGAAATTATGTCATCGCCCGGAAAATTGAAGTGTTATCGATAGAATGTATATAGAAATTCATAAATAAATGTCAAATTTTGCCGCAAACACATAAAAAATCGGATTCTTTTCCGTGTATGACTATTACCGATACGTTTCCACCGGAAATAACATTGAACTGAATTGTTTTATTTTATTTGGAACAATTTTTTCATTATACGCACCAAGCACGACGAGGATCCACATCAAAAGCAGCTTCATCTTTAAATTCTGAAAAAGTCGATATGCGAACAACAATGAAAGGCTTTTAAAAATATTCACAGTATTTCAATTCACATCGAGTGAAAGAAAAGCGAAACAAAGACACGTTCAACGCGAATCACTTACAGAGAATCGTTGAAGCGATACTAAACGTAAATGAAGATTAACGCCACCCGAAATATTGAGGCTATTTAAATGATTTTGTTTTTGAGATTGATACGTTGTTATTCTAAATGCGCCTACCAATCGAACATATTTATTTATCAGTGCTATTTTCAACAAAATGTTTTTTTTTTCATTTTACGATAACATGCACTTGCATTTGTACCACATTTCTCAGCATTTGATTATTTCGTAGGTCATGAAATTTTTTCATTTTTGTGGATCATTCTCATTTGTTGATGATATGAATGCAATGATTCTACGAACCATTGAGATCAACTTTGGTGTGTTCGAATGAAATGAATCCCTACGCCAAATGGAAATAATATGGAAAATATTCTTGGAATTTTTCATAATACTTGCGAGTATTGAAAGATATTACAGTATTTCAATTCACATCGAGTGAAAGAAAAGCGAAACAAAGACACGTTCAACGCGAACCACTTACAGAGAACCGTTGAAGCGGCAACAAACGTAAATGCAGATAAACGCCACTCGCAATATTGACTTGCTATTTAAGTGATTCGCATTCGTTTTGTGCGTTCTGGACTTTTGTTTCTGACGGTTTCTGAGATTGATACGTTTTTATTCTAAATGAACCTATCAATTGAAGACCTTCACTTATTTATCAGTGACCTCTTCAACGAATTGTTTGTTTTGTATATCATGATAACACACTGTATTGAAGAAACAGCGAGACAAAGAGGAAAAAGCAGACAGTACTGATGTCCATGCGTTTGACCAGATAAAAAGAAAGCTACCAGGCAAAATGTCGGTGTTTTTTCTACGCATTGTGTGAATCTTCGTTCCTTCATTTGTATTCGTGATACTCAACAAAACTTCGCAAACATTTAAATGATTTTGTTTTTTAGATTGATACGTTGTTATTCTAAATGCGCCTACCAATCGAACATCTTTATTTATCAGTGCTATTTTCAACGAAATGTTTTTTTTTTCAATATCAATTTAAAATATATAGGTGTAAAGATCACGGAAAGGTATCATCATTTCTATACATAATATGAGGAATGTATGTAAACAATTCGTCAGTCTTTTTAAATGAAAATTTGTGTTAACGAATAACACGTTGAGCTGAGTTTCGAACGAGTGGTTTAGTTTGTGATCCTTCTACGTTTACATTTGTTTCTTAATCAGCTGCATTCTAGTCAAGAAAGGTACACGAGCAATATGCTGCGTTGTCTTTGGTGGGCTCATCCAGGTCGAGATCACAGTTCGGTTTTGTGGTAACATGAAAGTTCGTAATTCGTAATTCCATTATAAAATTATCAAGGTGTTCTCGTAGAGAACATATACAAAAAATGAGGTTACGTGGATGAGAAATTGCTTGAGTGGCCAGGTAATCATTTGAGTTTGCATAGCGAACCAAAAGTGGTGTCCGTCATTCTTCGAACCGATGATGCAAAATTCGCGTTCGAGGTAGCTGCTGTGAACAGTTCCGGCACCATGTTCGCCATTTTGCACATTTGGGGAATTGGAACTTCACGCACTAGCCTCATGTGTTTGTCATTGACCTTAAATTGTTCGCTGTGCCTCAATGAACGCCCTTGATTAAATGAGACTTGGTCACCAACCGTTGG